TCTCTGGGTTTATATTAGAAACACTCAGACAGGATCACAGCACTCACACTGCTCTCTGGGTTTATATTAGAAACACTCATACAGGATCACAGCACACATGCTGCTCTCTGGGTTTATATTAGAAACAGACAGATGAAATGCTGTATCTGTCTTCATCCCTAGCACCTGCAGGAGGACCCAGCTGCAGCAGTGCAGTCACTGTGCAGCCCTGCTGAGGGAGGTTTTTGTACAGCCGTGTAACACTGTGTGAACAGATATCTACTACTGAGCTCATGGTAACTCTGACAGTAATAATCTGCTGCATCTTCAGCCTGGACTCCTGTGATGGTCAGAGTGAAGTCAGTCCCAGATCCACTGCCACTGAAACGCTCTGGGATCCCAGTGTAACGATTAGTTACATAATAGATTAGGAGTTTAGGAACTTCTCCAGCTTTCTTTTGGTACCAGTGGAGGTAGTTGTTATTATACACTGCTGGACTGGTCTTACAGCTCACAGTGACTGTCTGTCCAGGGAGAACAGATTTCACTGCTGGAGTCTGAGTCACAGTAACCTGTCCACTGGATTCTGAAAACAAGACAAAACACAGTAAACAGATGTGACCGTCACAGTTCCGCACAGGCTTGTTCCCTCGCCACTCTACCCTGCTGGTTCACCCCACAACACCTGGGGCGCAAACCCAGGTCTCTAGCATAACACAACAGGGAACCAGCCACATGAGCTAAAGGAGACCTCCCTCAGCCCAGCCAGCTGAGGTCCCTGCTATGCGCAGGGAGGGCAATGATGTCACCATGTCCAAACTAGCTCCGCTACACAGAGAATTTAAGAACTAGAATGCTAAAACTTCTTTTAGTTATTTTACACTTTTTTATGAATCTTGTTTACATTATATGTAAATTTTATGATTAAAGCTACTGTATATACTTCATCACAAATAAAAAAAAATATGTTTAAGTAAAGACAAATATTAAATTATACCCTGCAGAGAGATGAGGAGTGTCCAGATGAAGATGGTGATGAAGGTCATTCTTGCTGTGAGTTCTGTTGCCATGAAGGGCAGTTCTCAGTCATGAAGTGTTAAACTCACAGGGCTATAAACACTTCCAGAGCACTGAAGCATGTGCTGCTAATGCAAAGTGTCTCTTCGATGCAAATTATCTTCCTGGGTTGAGCAGCACTTGTAGCCAGTCAGTGCTGGAAACACAAGCTTGGTGCTGTGTGTTGTGACAGGGCAAGATGAGCAGTTTAGCATGAACACTCCAGTGAACACAACAGATAGTGACTTTATTTTCTATGAAATTAGATTTACCGAAATCTCCTTCACACTTTTCACCTGAAAAACCAATCCTGTTCCAAAATGGATCTTATGCTTTTCTTGTCTGCTTAGATAAAATGATCAAAGAAGGTACAAGCTGCTCATAGACACAAGAAAGATTACAAATGAGGAGGCAAGTGGACCCATCTTTCTTTCTTGCATTCAATTAGCTGATTAGACGGCTGTAAGTTGAAATCTCAGCTAGACCACTGCTGCCCCTGTTGTGCCCTTTTAGAATGCACTTCACCCAGATTGCTGCAGTTAAACGCATGGCTGGATCAATGAGCTTTCTTAGAAGTTAATTACTTGTTGATTTTTGATTATTTAAAATGCTCATCCAGCCTCTTCTTCATTAGAATTGGCTTCCACACCACAGCTGTGACAGCTTGTTCCAGGCACCTACACTTCTGTGTGTAAAGATGTACCTCTTGCTCTTGATGCTATAAACACTCTTTCCACTCTGTGGTGGCTCAAGCCAAGGCTTTGTCTAGGGTCTCTCCTGGGAGTGAGAATTGGACACACCTGGCCTGACTGCCTGGTCAGTGTCCTGTTTGACTGGAATGCCACTGGAGTTCATGTGATTGGTCCAGTGAGCAGGGGCGGCCCTGGACACAAGAAAACTAGGACACTGCCCAGGGCCCCGAGGCCACCAGGGGGCCCCCTCAATGTGCAACACAACATCTTTTTAATTGGCAAGTTCTAACGTGAGCAAAACATTCCCTATAGTGGCTTTTTCTGTTGCTGCTGTGGATTATCCTAATGGAAGCTGACTAAAACATAACTGTGGTCAGCCATGACACAAGTGGTCTCAGTGGACTGGCCATCATCAGTCACGCAGTGGGTCGACTACTATGTATTAATTTCATCGAATGTTTGGTTTATAAAACTTTCCTATTCCCTCAGATTTACTGATATCACCTCCCTTGTTATTAAGTGCACTTACTGTAATTCTTACAGTTCTACAATTTCTTCTACAATTCCTTTCTACAAAGGCCTAAATGCAGTAATTTGTAAGTTTTTGAAGTAAAAGGGATCCTTTTAAAAACTGGGATTTTTGTTCTTGTTTGCAACTTGTTTATTAATGCCTCAATGCTGGTTAATAATTTTTTTGTTCTGTAATTCATGAATTTAATTGTTCTATGAAATAAGCTTGTGTTGGGAGCTGATATTAGTAGTGTCTGCAAATCATAATCTAGAGGGGCCCCTTTCCCAGATTTTGCCCAAAAACTGGCTTTAGGAAACTGACTAGTTTGTATCTGGTAATTAAATATGGTGTAAAACTGTGTGCAAATCCTTGCATTTTTTGCATTTTTCAATTCAGCTTGGTTCATTGTATTAAGAGATTGTTAATGAGAAGACTGTTGTGTAAAATTAATCAAATATATTATAATATTTAAACAACTGTAGAGATTAGTAAGGAAGATCAGCAACAGAAACTGCTGTGTTAAACATAATTAATGTGTGTTAATGCTTTTATGGGTCTTGTCTTTTCAAGCAAGACAGGGCTAAGCAGAGATGACAGAACCTTTAGCGAACAAAAACAGACTTTGAAGGAATGGGACACAGTTTAAAAGATAAATCATTTTTAAAATAATTAAGCAATAACAGTTCAAGAGTACAGAGAACTGCAAATGCAGATCTTAAAGGATATTAGAAAGGCCACAAGGGAGATAGGAAGGAAAATTGAAATGGAGGCTCAAACCAAAAACAAAAGTTCTTTCAATCAGTTCTTTCAAAGAAACTGTACCCAGAGAAACGAGAGCTGCTCTTCAGGTACTGGAGAGACTTAAACATTAATAAACCTCCAGGGCCTGATGGCATCATACCAACTGTATCCAGAGAAACCAACCCATACCAACTGTACCCAACTGTACCCAGAGAAACAAGAGCTGTTCTTCAGAAGACCCTGACAGAGCTCTTCCAGCAGCAGCAAAACACTGGGGCTGTACCCAGGAGCTGGAGGATTGCTAAAGCAGCGCCCATCCACAAGGGTGACAATACTGACCCAATTACAGACCAGATCACATCACTTCTATAATATGTGAGCTTATAGAAGCAATTATTACGACTAATCATCTACAGTATATGGAAATAAGATTTTAGTCACAATGGTTGTAGAAAAGGTAGATTTTGCTTAACTACCTTATTAGATCAAGCAAGAGCAGTAATGAGTATGCACTGAGCATATGATATGGTCATCATTTAGATTTTCTAAAGTTCCTCATGAAAGATTAATTTTCAGTTTACAGGCAGAAAACGCTCAGTGAAATGTGTGGATATGGACTGAGAACTGGTGAAAAAACAGGAACGACATGAAGATAAAGAGGAAATATACAGATTGGGGTGATATACTGCAATTAATGGAGTCCCAACAGGGACTACTGTATATCAGGACCTGCCTCCAAATTTATATAAAGAATTTAAATTCTGGGTAAATAAGTCAATTTAACAAATGACAAGAAATTAGGAGGATTTGCTAATAATCCAGAAGCAGTTAATTTCATTTAAAAAGATTTGGATAAAACTCAAGAGTAGGTTTGCTTGCAGGTATTGTCACGACCACCAGCCAGCAGAGAACATCTCGCAAAAGAACTAACCAGTACCAGCTGCGGGTTAATAATAACAATCACCACTGCACGCGTTAATCCATCAGCACACGCTCTACTGTGCGAGCAGCACTATTTAAACCATCCTAACCCACTTCCAGCTGCTCGGTATTGAGTTTACTCCCTGAGAGCTCTACCTGGCGATTACTAAACCTTGTGTCACTCTGGATTTTGGACTACCTCTTTTGCCTTTTGACTTCAAACCTCGCCTCTTGACTTGGATTGTTTGCCACCTGTGTTTGTCCTGGATTTCAACCGCCTACTCCTGCGGCTGCACAGGATCCATAACTCCTCATTAGGAAATCCTTACAGGTATGGTCGTAAAAAAATTAACTACTGTATAAACATAAAATGGGAAGCACTGAGCTGGAAGAGGCTGTGAACTGTATGAAAAAGACCTGGATGTTGTGAGAAAGCAATAATAAAGGCAAACAAAACTTTAGGATATACAGTATACTCACAAGAGTAGTATTCAAATCAAGGGATGTTCTGTTAAAATTGTACAATGTGCTAGTTAGGCCTCAGTTAGAATATTGAATACAATTCAGGTCATCATGTACCAGTAAATATATTACAGCTCTGGAATCAGTTCAGAGAAGAGCAGCCAGATGCAGGACTATGAGGGAACTTTATACAAGTTCTCAAAACCTTCAAAGACATTGAGAAGATCAACACAGCAGACAAACTAGAGGACACAAGGGGGAAATATGTGGAAGTGCATTTCAATCCAGGAATGGAAGGCATTTCTTTGTACAGAAGACTGTGGGAAAATGGAACAAGCTTTCTGGTCACCACCAGTGTGTAGCCCCTACCTAGCCAGAGTGTGCCAGTGATCTCCACAGATCAGCTATTAGTGGGGAGGAGAGCAGAGTGATGAAGCCAGTTCAGAGATGGGAGTAATTAAGAAGCCATGATTGGTAAATTTGTCCAGGACAGTGGGTAACACCCCGACACTTTTTGAGAGACACCCTGGGATTTTTAATGACCACAGAGAGTCAGGGCCTTGGTTTTACTGTATGTCTCATCTGAAGTACAGCACCTTTTTACAGTATAGTGTCCCCATCACTATGCTGGAGCATGAAGACAGACTGCAGGGTGAGCACTCCCTACTCTTCATAAAAGTACTGTATCTTCTGTTTTATACAAAAGTTTTTTTTTCAATTTAAATTTTTTAGTGCAGCTTATATGCAGCTTATATGCAGATACATATACATATGGTAGAGAGATGACTTATTAGCTTGGGTAATTATATATATAAATATACCTAGTTGTTGTGAGGGAACATACTGTACATACTGTACATACTGTACATACTGTACATTCTTGACTGGACAGAACAGCTTGGGTGTACCTGGGAGGCTTATAATCATCTAAAGGTGTAGGCAGGGATAATTAGCTGATAATTAGAACAGGTAGAACAGAGCAGGAGTGTCTCTTTGGGATAAAGACCAGTGGAAATAGAGGAAATAGAGGGAGAGAAAAGATACATGGTATATTTAAACAGTTGCTATTGTTTGGATGTTCTGAGGTTTGGAACTAACCCTGCTTCATTTCTCTTTAGGTAAAAGATTGTTTAAAATGTAATTGTTTTAGGACTCCGGTAAGGACTATAGTTTGTCTTTTAAGATAAGATCACTTTATTGGCCATATACAATTTCTTGTATTAGGAAAATGTCTTTTCTCATACCCCAACTTGCTCCCCATGAAACACACAGACAGGGAGAGAAGCTTAGGGTCCCAGTGCGGGGTCAGCCATTTATACAGCACCCCTGGCACAGGTGGAGTTAAGGGTCTTGCTCAGGGGCCCAACAGAGTAGGATTCCTCTGCCAGCCATGGGATCCTTAGCCACAGAGTCACTGCTCCACCCCAAAGCCTGATTGGTGATGCCAGGACTGAACTCAGGACCTCATACATGCAAAGCATGCACTCTACCACTGAGGTACATCCCCAACACGCTTACTTTTTATATTAAAAAGGATTCCTCTGGCCTGTTGAAAGTAGGAAGACTGGTTATTGGTATAACTTTGAAATAAACACTTTATTAATTGAACATTAGTATATTGAGGTGAATGAGTGCTCAGTTGATGTGTGACCTGTTCATTCTACTTAAAAATCCTGCAGTGACATCTAGAGGTGATACTGAGAACTGACAGTGAGCTGGTCTCTGGAGTTGGTCCAATAAATCTTTGAACAGGTAGATAATCATGTTCTTCAACCCACTAACATCTTAGTCTCACTTGAAAATTATGACTATATATGCATCTGATATGTACCTGCAATGTGTTTTGCACAATATTATATGAAATCACTGGTCAGGTGCAGAGTATTTTTAATCTGCATCAGTGTGGCCTGTCAATTTGTGCTCTGAGTGAGGAATGAGTTACCACTGAACTGATGCAGCAGGAAATGGTGTGTGTCAACATGGAGCTGTTTACTCTAGAAACATTTACAAAAGACCACAAGGTGATTACCATAAATCTGCTAAGGTAATTCTGTTGGTAAAATACTACATATAAACCAGCCATCTGCTGACTGAGATACAACTCCTAACCCTGATGTCTCTGTCTATCAATTAGTTTTCTATGCAAATTATAAAGCAATATAAATTGTTTATGAATATGACATATAATTAAGGTTTTTGTATACCTCTCACTCTTTTGGACACATTCATATCACACAACACAGTCAGTGATCACTTTGAAACAGCTTTTATCTTCACATTGGGTTTATAAAAACGTTTACCACAAGGCATCTTAGAATATTCTGATCACATTAAAGTATTAATGTACTAATATGTTATTCTGGTAATTTTCTACAAAACATTTTGTATTATTACTGTCTCATTGTTCTCTGGTGGCATTAAATGATTAAAGTCCCAGTGATTTTTACCATGAAGGTAATTGCATTGGTCTGGTTCGTGCAGTAAAAATGAAATTATACACACAAAAACAAGACAAGCAGACTTACAATATTTACAAGAGAGATAGATATTCTGCATCAAAACTCTCTCGCCAACTTATTGCTTACAGGCCGGTCATTCCTCTTCACTCTGCTGTCCTGGTGTAAATCAGGAATGGTTCAATGTTTTAGCCAGAAAATGATTTTTCTTCTTCAGGCTGTGTGAGAGAAATTTGCTTTTATACATTATAAATGTAGACAGCTGGGTCTTTGCAGTAAGTCTACTGTACCCGTCCCTGTGTCCCCAGGAAGCAGTGATTCCATGAGGAAGCCATGAGGATAGTGAAGATTAGAAATGTGCAGATTAGAAGACGTTTTGTGGGGAACAGACCTCACACTTCAATGTGAATAACCCAGAGACATCACATGCATAATGTCCTTCCATCTACTCTGGAAGTGCCTTGTATAAGCATGTCTGAAACACATCTCTGATTATATAAAGAGAAAAACAAGATTTGTTATAATGAAATAGTTCAAGTAGGTAGCTGTCTCAGCATGTGTAGGCTGCAAAGGAATAAGTAAAAGGTTTATTCCATGTGGAAAAGAGAAGAAAGGAAACATTTCGGCTGTGGAGGTTTCTTGGGGTGTGAGGAATCCGAAGAAGCTCGCTCACACCTGCAGAAGGCTCCATGGCCGAAATGTTATGTTTTCTTTCTTCTCTTTTCAGCATGGAATAAACCTTAACTTGTTTCTTTATTATAATGAATCCTTCAGGAGATTTTATTTGTAACATATTTAAATTATTAAAATATTAGGATGTTTCAGACTAAAATTCTTCAGATGCTGAGTAAGAAAACTGAGCACTGTGCAGTTTGTACATCATGAGCTAAGAGGAGAGAGACAAGTGTCAGCAATGGGACAACTGAGTTGAATATTGTTGGAAAAGAAGCGTGTTTTACTGACAAAATCATAGTGCTTTTACAGCAGAAACAACAAATGACCTGTTCTGTCTCCCTGTTGTGGTCAATATGTATAACTGCAGTTTCTGTTTGATTAACACATCTAAAGGAAAAA